GATAGCAAGAGATAAAGCCGTCAAGCCGAGGGTGCAAAGTGAGCAAGTTCACTCACAGTATGCCAGGATGAAGGCGTGGTCCAAATTAAGGCGTCTCAGGCATAAAGAGACACTTAAGGAGTATGTGAGTCGATTCAAAAGACTCATGCTCAAAGTCCCAAGTTTGACTGAGGAATATGGGTTCTTTACCTTCATGTTCGAATTAAAGCCGTGGGCAAAGAAAGTGTTGGAGCGAAGGGAAGTCAAGGAGTTGTCCAAAGCCTTGAAAATCGCTGAGTCCATCAAAGAATTTGGAGTCAAGAAGAACAAGACTTCCAAAGCAAAGTCGAAAGCTGAGGGTAGCGGTAAGAGAATCCATGATGAAGGCAAGTCAAAGGACGATGAATGTTGTTCCTTGAGTGGCAGAGAAAGTCCACTCAGTGATGAACCAGATGATGGATCTGGGGAAGATGTGTGCAGGCTTAGCACAAGTTCAAGTGTCAAAGATGCTAAGCTGAGTATAAGAGTCGAGCAAATGAGTGGGTGCAAACTTAAGATGCCAGAAGTGTTGGGAGACTACCCGAGGGGAGCCGAGTCATCCAAGGTGATGGATGAGCCCAGGATCGAGTTATCCAGATAAGAGGGAGAACCCATGATCGAAGAGGCGTTGAGAGTTGGCTCAATAAGGTTCATTTCTACCAAGGTAAGTAGAAGCCAAGTGCAGAAGGAGTTAGCCATGTCCAATAAGTTTGCCGAGCATGTTCGAGTAGAGAACATGGCTTCAGAGACCATCATAAGAGAAGGGTCAAAGCAAGGGTTTACTGAGGATGTTCAAGTGAGGAACAATGCTTCAAAGACTAGTAGACAAGAGTCGAAGGGAGCCAAGACGTTAAGGGACAAGGCAACCATGGAGAAACTACCCATTTGCAAGGTATGAAATGAGCTCCAACCTTCGTGTTAGAAGGAATGAGGCAAGAAGGGGCATCAGACTTTTTCGTGAGAAAGTATCGATGCATGGTGGTGCAAAGAACTCCAATGATAAGGGTTCAATGCGAGGAGTGTCAGACTTCATGTAATAAGAAGGGTTGACGCAATTTTGAGTATGTCATGGTTTGTACTAGACCATATATTACTCAAGCAGTGGGAGCTGTTAACAAAGACGATGACTACGGACAAACTAAAGTTGTGTTGGCATGCTCGAGTAACAAGAGCATAAATGATGCTGCATTGATCAAGGTGTGAAGACAGATTAAAATCAGTCTTCAAGTGAGAGATTGTTGAAAGTCAAAGGAAATTAGGCAGCACATGGGCTGCTAAATGGGCGGCTGCAAATGGTTCAAATTAGGCAACCATCTAGTTGAAAATGTGCAATGGTAAATTACCTAATTTACTCCATAAACTTTAGGGTATTTATAAGATTAGTCCTTAAGCTTCAACTATAAATATCCTAACATATTTAGCTTCAAAACCATCTCTAAATCATTCTAGCTCTCTCTCAAGTGTTTCTGTAAACACCTGTAAATATTTTCCCTTTATTAAAAGATCTGCAGCAGTCCGGAGACATAGGCATAATTGGCTGAAGTTCGTTATCAATTTCGGGTATTATTTTTCCGCTTTTATTTATCATTCTCACTAATATTGTTATTGGGAAGTTACTCGTTCTCGTTTATTTCCCAACAGTTATCTATGCCTTTGACATTTGGTTATTACATATAAGGAGACGTATATGTGAGGAGTATAATATGTTATATAATCTGAGTCCCTTGTATTTAGAGAAAAACTAGAAGATTATAATTTATTACCAGTACATAAAAATTTATAACTTTTTAAAATCACAATGGTTGTATTCTTGATAAAGATTTTATAACACAATGGTCATAATTTATTACCGGTACATAAAAATTGCCCATATAATAGAACATCTAACGGGTACTTGTACTATTTTTTAGAGTATGAGGGAAAATACATAATCGATGTACTATATTTTAGACACAGTTGACTGCTCAGCATGTTGCTAGGGCATTGGAGGCATATCAGGTATACATTGCAACGTAGGGAATCTACAATATTTACCATTGCAACTAAGGCGAATCAAGCTCTTATCTCAGTGATGTAGGAAATATAGCAAACATATATAATAAATTATATTCCTTTTCCAGGTTGGGACAAGTCTAAGCCTTTTTTTTTCATGTGGAAAGGGCTAAGTGTGATAGACTGCCAACTAAGAGTAGGATGCTAACACGGGGTCAAATAAATCCTCGGTGTTTGATTTGTGGTGATGAATTGGAGATGCACAATCATCTTTTCGTTGAATGTTATTATGCTTGTCAAGTTTAGCAGTTGATTTTGCAAGCTTGTAGGCATGATAGATCTCATAATGGTTAGATGAACTTGATTAATTGGTTGCAAAAGGTTTGTAAAGGGAAGTCTTTGCAGGCTACTATCACTCAGTTAGCTTGGTGTGCGTTTAACTACTACATTTGGCAGGAGAAAAATAATAGATATCATGGGAGTGGAGAACACCATGTCAATGTTATTTTTTTCTCATATTAAGAATGATAATCGTTTAAGGCTTGATAGAAGTAAGAATGTTTCTAATTCAAATTCTAGTTTAGTTGCTGATTGGGGCTTTTAATTTCAAATTTTTGTTGTTGTTGGTTGTTTTGTTATTTGATTTTTTTGATTGGTTTATTTCTTTAGGTGTTGGGAATAGTTTCCTCGCCCATATAGGGTTGTGGGAAAAATGATTTTCTCATATAAGGCATCCACTATATTATTTCCTAAACTATGGTCATTGCTACAGTGCCAATGGAAAGACGTCATGATTACCATGCGACTTTCTTTTTTCCGGTGGAAGTCGCATGGATTACTATGTGTCTTTAGTTTTGTAGAGCTAAAAATGGTGAAGACGCACTGCATTCTTGGGGTCTTTTGAAGTCGCGTGGAACACGAGACATCTTCACCTAATTACTGTAGTATTCACCCTATCTTGGGAAATAATTCTGGTGTTGGATTATTTTGGGAATTCTTTTTCTCCAAAGGACTATCTCAATCATTTTGCTTGTTGGGGGATTTGAGTGATGTAATGTTTATTTGTGCTTGAGATTTCTTTTAGATGAATAAATGAAATTTATAAAAATAAAATAAAAAAGAAAGAGAAAAGGGCTAAGTGTGGCCCCTTTCAAAGCTCACAACATGGATTTTCATTTACTCCATTTGATTGAGCCTAACCCATAATTTAAATTAAGAAAATACCTTACCTTTTCCTCTAATTAACCTATATTATTTTTTCGCGAACCAAAAGACCTAAGTGACTAGAGGAGTGATTGTTATTTCTAGAAATCTTAGGTTCAAGCACATCAATTATAGGGGTATTCGAGTGTTCATTGTCAAATAGTTAAGAATATTTTAAATAAATATTACCTTAAAATCCCTAAACTAATTGTTTTTATCACTTCATTTCAAACCTTATAAATTATATCATAATCTCCAAATCATATAAACTTTTATTCACCAACTTTTTTAATGAATGCAATTTAATCTTTTTTTATATTATTTTCAGCTTCACATTTTACAGTTGTCTCAATTTGATCATTGTGTGTTGTTTACTTTATTTAAATTTTAGTTTTAATTTCATGTTTGTTCAATTTCATCCTTAAAAAATATATTTTTTATCAAAGTTATTCCATAATTATTTCTATTTTTTGTAATTTAGACTAAACCATATACAATTACAAATTACAATTCAATATTTATGAAAGACGAAAAATAATTCATCAAAAAATGACCCAACCTGAATACTGTATGTACCCAATAAGAATCGATCCGAATTTTATCCGTCAATAACATGACCCTATCTGAACGAGACCCGACTTAAAGTTTATCTGAACCTGAATTAACCTGATATTTAACTGCTTCGAACCCGAACCGTTTTGACATGAACTGATATTGATCTGAATTAAAATTAACATGACCCAACCTGAACTGAATCTGATTTCAAAATCAGCCTGAAATGACCTAAACCCGAGTCAACATGGACCCAACCTGATATGAGTCGAACCATTATATTAACCTAACATAACATGTATTTGATTTGACCTGATCGAATATGATCCGACCTGAAATATGAACGATTAACTGATTTCACATCTCTATCTTAAATCCCTAAAATTTAAATACCCATATCCTAAACCCTAATTATTTTCTCCTTCAATCGACGGGGGGCTTTGCAAGGAGGTCATGTGCAATGGGTCATGATGCAATTGTGAAAAAATTTGTGGCGCAAGGTGGTGAAATGCACTTTATATAACTTGTGACAGTGATGATTTGCTTTTGCACTTTAGAATTTGCAGTGGTGTTTCACCGTTATAATTTCAAGTTTCAGTGGTGATAATTTGCAGGGGTTATGCGCGGTTTATGGCCTGACGACGCTAGTGGTGGCCGGTCCACGGGTTAGTGACGGGCGTCGGTTGAAGGGGATTCAAATTATAAAGTTTTAGGGTTTTTTTAATATTGAGAGAAATTTGGGGTTATCTTAAATAATATAATAATTTTAGAAATATATATAAATATGATGCACGTCGAATAATGAATTTTATAGGACCTACATTCACCTAAAAAAGTTTAAACATTTAATTTAGACATTTTTATATTAAATTATAATAAAACTTAAAAATAAATAATCTGATTATTTTATTATTATTTGAATTTGTCCCTGACATTGATGTGTCCCACAAAATCCCAGGCGACAATGACGAATGCGTTTCGCTTTCACTCACAGGCAATAAATGTAATTAAGACAAGAGCAGGAAAAAGAACAGGCTAATTTTGTTATCCCAATCATTTTAACCAAATAATTACGAGTAAAAGGCTGGCATGGCGGCCGCTTATTTACTTCCAATTTGACAGTAACAATAATAATAGAATGAACGTACAGTTTTGCCTACTAAATCCAGTAACGTACCCTTTTGCACCCACTTTATATATAGATATAGTAGCAAACGCAATTGACACGCTTCGTATTTCTCATCAAGCTCCTTCAAAAACCCTAAGAAAAAAAATGCGGCAGCAGCTAGGGAACCATGAAATCCAACAGCTGGCTGAGACAGCCAGAAATCTCAGGTCATCTTTTCGCCAGTTATCTTCAAGCTTCAGGAATGCTACCTCGAACCACGCCATGTCGTCTTCCTTCAGAGAAAATAATGACGACGAGGTCGCGTTGCAGTGGGCGGCAATTCAGAGATTGCCGAGTTTTAAGCGTCTAAGAACGTCATTGTTGGATCACAGACTTTTAGTTGATGATACTAGCAAAGAAGAAGACGATATAAAAACCCACAGGAAGAGGATGTTGGTTGATGTTACAGAGCTCAGAGCAATGGAACACCACGTTTTCATTGAGAAGCTCATTACCAAGATCGAGGACGATAACCTCCGCCTATTGAAGAAACTGAAAGAAAAAATAGACAGGCAACAAACCTCTCGTCTATCTCTTTGGTTTTGAATCAGTTATTATTACTATTCACGCATGAAAATCTATAAAGGATGCCTTAGCCTTCGATCCTTTGGCCTATAGATTTTTGCAATGTTTTTAAAATTGGACCGGACATTGAACCGTTGAAGGTACTGATTTACTGGTTTAATCAGATTCAACCGCGGTTGACGGTTGAACCGAATTTTATATAAAATAATATTTTTTTTTTAATTTTACATAATATTCAAAGTAATATTAATATATATGTAACATTTTTTTTAAGTTTACAATATTAAAAGGTATAAAAATATCACAAATCATAACATATATAAATTAAAAATCATAAAATCAAGTGAAACAAAATGATTCAAATCAACTACAACATAATATTTAAGGTAAAACATACTAAATAATAAATATAATTATATAACTATAATCAAAAAAATAAAATTGGGGCTTAAAAAATAATAACAAATGATGTCATTTGGTTTAATTTTTTTTAAAAAAACAATCTCATATGACTAAGAAACATAGAAGAGCATCCCAAAAGTTTAAAGAGTAAAAATATGAGAACAAAACAATCTCACATGGCTAAGAAACATAGAAGAGCATCCCAACTTACTTCTATAAATAATAGAGGTAATTTGACATTCAAAATCATGGAGCCTTTTGGTGAGCACAGAGCAAACTATTCTTTCGCTTCAATTGAGCTCAAATTTTAGGCTTCAATCGAACTTCTAATTTTTTTTTTGAGTTCGAGTCTTTTCAAGTTCAAGCTTTAATATTATATTTTGAGTTCGAGTTGAACTTGATAATTTTTAGCTCGTGAGTTTTTGAGTCGAGTTGAGCTTATTTTTAAAGTTTTCGAGTTCGAGTCGAGCTCAGCAATACTCGAATTTGACTTGGCTCGTTGAACAAACGACGTCGTTTGGTTTAATTTTTTTTTTAAAGAAAAAAAGTGAACCGGCAGTTCAAACTGGTTTTGTTGGTTTCCAGCTAGTTCACCCCGGTTTTACCGGTTTTAAGTCGGTTCTACCGGTTTTCAGCCGTTTCATTGCCAGGCCGATTTTGTGAGGTAACCGGACCGGACAGGCCACCGGTTCACGGTTCAACCGGCCGGTCCAATTCGGTTTTGATAACCATGGATTTTTGCATCAGCTGAAAATGAAAATCTTACTTTTTAAAGCTAAAACTTTAAAAAGAGTAAAACTTGTATTTAATCTGCTAAAACTTTTAACGTAAACATATATTTAATGGATGCTGGCAGAAGCCAAACCATATATGCATGTAATTTTCTTTTATCTAATGGCTTCTGTAATCTGTACTAACAACATCAAAATGAAAATGAATTATGAATAATAATAATAATAAGTCAATCAAAAGAGAAATCATTTTGTAGATTCATTGACTTGCAACTGACAATGACATTTGTGCTTAGGGTGGGGTTGCAATTGTCGACTATTGAAGTGAGATTCCAGAATTTGTCAGTGGAAGCAGACTGTGAAGTAGTTCAAGGAATGCCCATTCCTACACTTTGGACAATAATCTGATCTCCACCTGTAAAATTTGTCAATAATCCGGAATGATATACTTTACTAATAATCACTTTTTAGTATTGATTACACTTATTGAACTGGTCACTTTCAGAATCTCAACTGAACGGAATTAGAGGAGACGATCAAGTATTCGTTGGTATTATATATTTTTGTGATGTATAAGTATTAAGAATACTCAGCATACTTGAGTTATGTTCCATAACCTTTAGGGATGATACAACATAAGTTTATTGGTGTTTCTAGAATTTATGCAAAGACATTCACTTATTCCAAATTGTTAGGATATTTAGGTAACTTCAACACTCAAGGTTAGTTCGATCATCTTAAGTTCAAGGTATTCTAATTTTTTTGGGGTTCAGGGTATTTCAGTCATTTGAATATCATAGGTTATTTTAATTATTTCGTAGTTCGATGACATTTCGATAATTCTTTTCAATCCAAACATATGCACTTTTTCTGGTAATTGGTCTAATATGTCCTTTTTGGGCTATTTTTCACATTCAGGGGAAATCCGGGTCTTTTTACAATACAAGGGTATTTTTGTAATTTTACTCCATAGAATTATTTTTTGTAATTTTTTAACCAAGTATTCCCTACATTTAACCTTTAAAGAAATTAATTAGAATTTTGGATCTTGAGGTCAATTTATTTACTAACTAATCTTTAAACTTAGAATTATTTCTGATCGGTCTACCAATTTCTTTTACGAGCCGTTTGAGTCTTATACAATGTTCTGTCTTTATTCCATATTCAGTTTGAGTCCAATGATAATTAAATACACCTAAATGACTAATCATTTTCATTCATGCATTTATCAATTATCAATGAGTTCTAAAAAGCATACAAAAGGTAGTAGAGTATTACCTCGATTTATGAGTCATATTGTTAACCAATTAAACTCCATTTTATCTCCCTCGAACTTTAATTCCACGTCCTATAATGTTTCGAATACATGGCAAAACCAATTACATTAGAAATGAAACTTAAACGTGAAAATTTATATTGAATCAGGAGATAAAATGTCAAAAAAAATAACTTACCGAGTTTGAATTTGGCAAAACGAACTTCGGATCCAAACTCGGGACGTCTAGAAACATGAAATATGACTTTTTGGAAAATTTTATTTTTTGATCAAAATCAAAGTCAACGTTAGTAAAAGTTAATGGTCAAGTCAACGATCAGTCAAAGTTAATGAGTTGACTCTGTTTGAGTTGACTCAATCAGACAGCGAGTTGACTTAGCTAGACTCAGTTCGGTCTAACTAGACCGATTCCAGAAGGCTCCTAGACCGGTAGAGGAGTCCAACGAGCACTGTCGGCGCATGGCGGTGCATGCAGTGGCGACGGGGTCATTTCGAACAGTCGATCCTTCCCCGGTCACCTACACTCTCGGATTAATACGATATTCATTCAAAATCACGACAAAACTCACCAAAAACACCGAAAACTTACCCACTCCGACGACGACGAAAACAACGGTAAAGCTATGACCCACGGGTTGGGTTACGAGCGACCAGGGACGTCGAGCACATCTTCGGTGGTGGTGAGACGAATGGTGGCTAAATTGACGGTAATCGAAGGAAAATCGAGCAGGGGGTTGAAGACGACGAAGCTTCGACAATTTCTACATGTCGATCGACGACCGATTTCGATGAGGGGTAAGAGGGCTTTTGGTCACTGACGGTAGTGGATTAGCGAGGGTTGAAGAGGCGGCGGTTAAGGGTTAAGGATTTATGGTTTGGGAAATTTAGGGACTTTTAGGTGTTATGACCATTTTATTGCCTTAAATAAAATTTTAATTATAAATATTTCAAACAATACCTTAGCTTAAACACCTAGACTGATTTTAATGCCTTAAATAAAATTTTAATTATAAATATCTCAAATAGCCTAGCCTAAAAGGCTATGGCATGGGTGACCTTAACCCGGGGACATTAATGATTAAATCCATGAACTTCCTGTAAATGCTAAAACGGGCTGTAAGTTCTGAAAACTTGCAATTTAGTCCCTAATTATTTTAAATTGAATATTTTTCTTCTTTTTTCCCCCTGAAATTAGGGTTGTGACGTAAGAGAACGTTATGCGAATGGTTCATGAACAATTCATCAAAAGATGTATTCATTTACATCGCTACTTCAATGGAAGATCACAATTCACAAATTCGTGGGCTGTTTAACTTATTCCTGATGCCATAATTCTCAAAGGTCGAGATCCTCAAAATTTTGATATCTCATCTTATGTAAACTCTAGATTTTTTCTGATTTAAGTTCCACCATAAATTTGCATTGTTTATATTTTGGTCCTAAACCTTTCATCAGATCTTATACTGCATACCACTGAAAATGCAATGACCGTCGTCGGATTGATATTACTCTTAATTGACATTTGACAGGTAAAATATGTGGAGAAAAGATGACAACAATCTGACGACAATAATAAGAACTTCCTGACATATATACCGACTTAAGCATACAAAAGAAGCCTCTAACGGGTGATTTTATCACAAGATGTGGGAGGTTTTTATATTAGGAAGGAGGAGCTAACTACATACCAGTCCTTACTCCTTACATGCTGTTCAAGATTCCCTGTTCAAAGGAATGTTTTCCCAACCTCAATGTCTTCACATTCTCCCCCAAAGGTTGGTTTGATTCATTTGGATTAACAGAACTTATATCAGTACCTGTTGGTGAAGCCTGATGAGTTTTTTGCTTGGGGCTTTCTTCGTTTGTATGTCAAAGGAAGGGTATCATACTTATGCTCTGAACCACTAGGTTTACTTGGCTTCTCTGTATTTTCAACTTTAAAATCACCTGGGATATTCATTTGGTTGGGAAAAGCCATCAACTTGTCCTGCATGCCTCCTTCAGGTCCTGAGACTGCTTCAGGAACTCTTGGTAGAATGGTCGGACACTTTTTTTGCAAGATTTTGGTCTGCCTCTCTCCTTCATGATATTGGTTGGAGAATGGATATGAAAACAATCCTTTCTTTCCCATGTCGAGGTTCTGCCACATATTCTGACCAAATTTGTATCTCTTTGAATCAATAACGCTTTCGTCATCGAGTTCAAACAATTTATGTTTACCTAAATTAGCAATGTCAACTTCCTTGCTTCTATTTTCACTAGAGTTCTGTAAATATCTACGGCTTCTTAAAGCACTATCCTGATGAATTAACATACTTCGATATTGCTCAGGGTTCATTTGGCCACCAGAAACCTTTTGCCATAGAAACGGTGACCCACTAATGTTGCCTGCATTTCCCAAGTAAGCAGGTGCTGGCAAATTAGGCACTGTGCGGACCTGTAAATCTTGGGCACCCAAATGTAACTCCTTCTGTGACCTTCTTGAGAACACTTTTGATACTTGGGGTAAGACAGAAGGAACTTTGGGAACTACTTTCAATAGTCCCTTCGGTACCGATCGACATTGTTCCGAAAGGTCATCCACAACCATCTTTTGGTTGTAACTGTGAGTCGCATTGCCAGTAGTCTTAACCTTCAGAACACCCTTTGTACTGCAGTTTGGCACAATAGTGTTCATTCCATAGGCGGATGCACTGGCAACATTGGCTTTTTCTTTAACTCTTTCCCAAGTCTTCATTCTCTTTGGTAAATGAGAGATGACTGCATCCGGGTTAACATCCTCAGTTAACAGACATCCATCATTAGGCACTGCATTAAGGTCAAGCAAATTGGTATTGGCATCCCTGCATTTCATCCTTGTTCTCCACATATAAAGTCTTTCGGGGATGCCAGCACTCATGTCACATTCATCCCACAACCTTCCCATGTCTTTGAACATTTTACCATTTTGTGATGATAAGATCTTATTGCATGGTAATATTTTCTCCTCTCAGAAACTGCAAGGACTCTCTAAGCCGATAAATCTTTGGAGGATAAAATCCACTTTTCAATCTTCTGAAAAATGTATCCACGGGATTCCCAAATAAATCACTACCACTGAAAAGATCTTTCATAGTCAACCAGAAAGTCCATTCGTCCATATCTGGAAGGTAGGCTGATAAAGAGAACCGTTCTTCCTCTGTCAAGCATGAGTTCCATGTCTCTAACGACAGTATCTCCCTTAAATCCGGTAGATCAACAGTTCATATGGTATACTGCAAATCTGACCTTCCATCATGCCAAGCTCACAGCCAATTCCGTCGAAATCACAGTCATCCAGATCATCACCCGAGTCAGCCCCGTTAAGAGGGTCATCTTCCTTTCCTTGCCCTCACCTTTTAATGAGCCAGGAAAACGACCATGGTAACTCTTCTGTATGCCCATTGACACCAGAAGGATGTTTAGGTCCAAAATCTAGTTACATGGACAAGGCAAACAACCGAGCAAAAACTTTATTGCAGCACGAGATCTACCTGCAAATCGCACCGATGCTTTAGCCACAAAAACAAGAACAATGCACCTGAATAGTAAACTCAATTTCCCTTAGTTTACAATCTGCACAGCTTCCACAGCAGAAAGAACTCGTGGATACAAGAACACAAACATGATAAAAATTTCAAAACAATACTCCAGTGAAGGAAAAAACATTACTAATATACACTGTTAATTTCGGTACAAACAGATTTCTAACACTAAGATCACAAATTCTTCATCATGAGAAAACAAATGAATTAGATCAAGATATAATAAGATTAAGCAGTTGAAAAATTCAGTAGAACTGAACAAAACACAAAGTATAAAAGCAAGAATTGAGAAAGATGAAAGCAAACGATAGCTTGAGATTAACACGACGACAAAGGAAACACTCACTGATTAGTGGGGGAATTGGAGGTAAGCCGAAACAAATGAGATGATCAAAGGATGAAGCAAATCCACCAAAGAAGAATTAGTGTAGGGAAAATGGGGAATTGAGCGAAAGAAAATTAGGCAACAGTAAAGGACAGCGTGAATCTAGGTATACATGAGTGGCTTCGCTCCTTTACCTTTTGTTGCATTTCGAGAGAAAATGGCGAGCCCTCTAAAGCTGCCAATTGGAATTGTATTTTTTATTTTTATTTTTGTTTCTGTTATTCTCTCCCTGCGGTTCAGTTATTTTCATTTTTTATATGCCTAACTTGTTAAAAAAGATACATAGAACTTTTCAATCTATATATAATATATATATATATATATATAAGAATTATAATTGTTTCATTCATGAAATAAATGTGTATCATACTAATTGATTTTTTTATTAATGTTGTACATGCACTGTACGTCCAGCAGTCCAGGCTCCCACGTGGCTGCACCTCAGTACTTAGCTTGAAAAAAATGAAAACAGTATTCAATTTCCTAAGCCCAACTGTCTATTTTTAGGGTAATCAAGATATTTACTCATCCAATTGTTATTAAAATTTTTGTTTTGATCACTAATTTTTTTTGAGCAAATTAACTACTAATATTACATTTTTATTTTAAAATGATAATATGTGGTTAAAACACTAACGAAGATGATAACATGACATAATGTAATAACAACTATAGTCTTTAAAATTTATATATTTTATTAGTTTAGTCCTAATTCAAAAATAATTAAATATATTTCACCTTAAACATTTACAAGCCTTTTTAATTTTGTTCTCGTTTTAATTTTAAATGATATAATCAATAGTGTTTCAATAAAATATTGACACGTGTTATCATCTTATTGGTGATGATTAAAAAAATATGGATGGGTTTAGAGGAAACACTTATGTGATGTAACAAGTTAAATAAGTATTTCATAATTATTTTTTTATTAAACTATGGTTGACACACTATTATTTTAAGAAAAATATATCTAGGAATTGAAAATAAACAATTCTTAATCGTTATATCAAACAAAATATTTGTTATGTGGTTAAAAAATAAAATTGTTTTAGATTATGATTGATACAAAATTTTTAAGAAAAATACTTTGTTTTACTCTTAAATCTATTTAAAATTATTTTGTATAAGCACATCAAAAGATCTTATTGGTTTGAGGGAGTATTGTTCTTTTTAAAGGTCTTGGGTTCGAGCAGATATGTTAACAATGTATGTGTCCATTGTTAATTGTTAAGAAAAATTCTGAATTGATACTACTTTATAATTATCTCATACTATTAAAAAACTATTTTGTATTATAAGAAAAAGAGAAAATATGACCATTTTATTTTAATATTATTATTTTCTTTATTTTTGTTTTAATATTTTTTATAATTTATTTTAATAACATTTTGTCAATAATAAAATAATTATTTAGTTTAGTGTAGCAGTTAAGTGGTTTTTTTACTTTAAAGTCTTATTTAATTTATATCCCTTCCTCAATTATGTAATAATTACTTAAATTGTTAAAATATATAATGGTTATTTAATTGGTATATGTAATTTTAAATAAATATAACTTTTTCAATCAGTATATCTCATTACTTTTCTCTGTTAGTCTTTAGAAGAAAGAAAATGGTATTGCCGTTGTGTTTTATACATCACTTCTGAAGAATTATGAAGGTATTTCAGGCTACACTTATCCTTGGGTGCTTAGGATTTCATGAGTAATGAGAACTTCTGTTTGATTGTTTCCGGTCCTCATTCTTTACAGCTCAAGCGGTTGAGCTTTCGTAAACACAAATACTCCGCCACCACCGACGGCTCTACCCAACAGCATGTTCTGGTCCAGATACGAAAGGTAATAGAGTCCTCCCACCGATCTCCTGCAATCAGACATGCTTGAAATTTCATATGGAACATATTCAGATCAGTTTTAGGCTATGATGACCATACATGGGTCGATTATATACCTCCCGGTCCCGGGATTTGTTACAGGAACTTGAGCTGTAAATGTTCGGAGAAACTGCAAAATCTGCATAGAGGAAAGGAAACATTAAATGATTTTTCATAAACATAGACTAATGTATGATCAACTGTAAACGGATGTGGAAACACACGATTCTACTTGATTGCCAGACAAGCGGATGATTTAAATATGCTGAGTCACCAAAATGAACTTTTAGAACATCACTTTTCGGAGATAAGCTAATACATAAGATGATGAAGCATCAAAACCAGAAAAGCGTATTACATCTGTTCATTTGAACACAAATCAGTCTCTAATCAAAGGTCAAAGAAGAACTTTCAAAATCTAAATTATGGATGTAACTGCGTGTAGGACTTCAAGTTTAACATGGATCATGCAAATGGCCGAACAAAATCAAACAATGCCACGTTCTAACCAGAAATGCAGGTGATGATTAGATACCTGTAGACTTAAAAATGACCTTGGAAGGAGAGCTGGAGCAATCAGAGCTTGCAGCTGTTCACTGATTTTTATATCTTGAATTTTTATCTGTCAAATACATCTTGCAGGTCTGAGATCAGTTAAAACAAATATACATGTATGTATATGTAATCACTTTTAACTTCCATTAGAATTTAGAATAATCTCTAAGCATGGTCAGGGAACAGTACTAAAAGGCCTATTTATCAAGATAAAGTTAATTTTTCTTTGCAAATAGAAGGGCATGGAAACAAAGGAAAGGACTCGATATAGATGAGTTTGTGCATATAAATGTTTCACAAGAAGCCAGTGATGTACTAGGGATCACCTGAGCATTCTTTTTAATGACTAACTAGGCTCGTTTAAGGCTATTTTATTTAAGTCTAGTACGAGCCTACAAAAGAACATAGAGGCAGACATACTTCAAATATGCCCAGCAAAACTGTTTTTTTGGCTAGTGTAAACCTGGGGTGATCTCGCCGATTAATCAAACTTAAATGGCCATGAATTGCTACCATGCATATTCTTCAATGTTTGACTAATGTCCCGGATTGAAAAATAGATGCATGTGACAAACCTTAACCTTTTAGGAAGTAATGATTTTTGAAGTAGAAAATGGGAAGCTAACCTCTTCGAACTGAAGATAGATGTTTCGCACGGAAACAACATCAAACTTTGCAGAAACAACCAGAGTGGCGCCTTCTTGTTCCTGTAAAGCAAAAGAAAGACAACATTTGATGGTACTATCTTTTCTTCAACAATAATCATTTGAACACTTGAATACCTTACTTGGAGTATAAAGGTGCAAGGAAACAAACTGCTCCAGGATCTATATCTTACCCTAGTATATTAATTAGCATTCAAGATAACAACGGTGGAGATATTGAAATTAGAAGTTTACCTCTAACAAGTTCGGAACACTCCACCGAACAACATTTCTGATTACCCCTCCACGGAGCTGATCCCGGCATTCGAATTTCTGGAAGATCTGCCCAACCTAACCCAATTTGACAAGCAAGATATCAAAACAAACCTCTTTATTTAACATTACCTGAATTTTGTAGCAGCTGAGAACTAAACCTTAGCCTAAAACATGAAAAGCCTCCTCAATCAATCTAAATGCCAACTGCATTCTTAAAAAAAAAGGGCAAAGGAATACAATGAAGGAATTTCAGCGGTAGTACCTGGAAAAAAGGTAGCCTTGCAGCAGCTTCGAAAAGAACGAGAACATCTGGGGCAGAGGTGTACTGCAGGCGCCAAGTTCCATCCAACAGCGTCATGTCAATTGGTGCACCCATGTTGTATCCCTCTACGCTGACCTACAAATTTCACAACACCCAAAAAGAAAATGGCTTTTACTTCAAAATTAGCACTATTTCCAGTTTGGGTTTTGGGGGAAGAGATTATTTATACCAGAGCCTCCTCGATAATTGAACGTTGATCAGCAGTTGCAACAAGACCCCGTTGCGTGTCTTGAACAGAAAGGAGAAGATCATGTTTCTTGCTCTCTAACTCAACCGCAGATACCTCGAACCCAAAAAAATAAATCCCATCACTACCCAAAATTCGAAGAAAATAAATAAATAAATGTTCTGGAAAAGGATACAAGAATGCGAACCCGATTCCCGTCAGCAGCAATAGCAATTGAGCATAGAAATTTGTTGTGAAAAGAGCGTTTCATGTTGGTAACGAGTTTTGAGCTGAGGTCTCATCTCGTAGATAGCTCTCTTCCCATGTGTCGGGTATACCGAAGCAGCAAATGCTAATTCCATAATGTTTCAGAGATTGGGCGACAATGGGGATTAAGATTATTTCCCAAAACAACAGTTGATAAAATGAAGAAACCGAATCCAGTTAATAAAAGGATAGAATTCTGGGTTCCATTTTTGTCCACAACTTTGACTGTTGCTTACTTTGTTAGTCTTAAGACTAATTACTGGCTTACAGTAATAACCCGACCCGAATTACAAGTCATTACCGAGTTATCTCTGTTTTGTTGCTGTTTTGGAACCTTTCTACTCGTTAACTTAAAATATTCAGATTCTCTTACAGAACTAGGGACAGCTACTGCTCAGCAAAATCCATCCCAATATTGGCATGGCACAGGCAGCTATCGTGCTTGGGATAAAATGTTCATGAAATTAATGGGGAAAACAAGAAAAAAAAGATCTCGATATTTGCTTAGTTACTAACGGAAGACGATGAGAACAATGGGAGTTCCATCCAAAATTCCCCACGTCGAAACCGATGCGTCATATTTGCTTCTTATTTAAGATTCTTCTTTGGCCTCAGGAGAATCACGTTTAAGCAACTGAATCTGAATCAATCATGGGATTCCAAGGAGATGAAGAAACGGCAACAGCAGCTGCCAAAGCACCTGCAATATCTCCTTTCAGGTACAACTCACCCCTGGTTCAGGTTAGCTTAATAGGTCTAGTATGCTTCTGTTGTCCCGGCATGTTCAACGCCCTTTCCGGCATGGGAGGTGGCGGCCAAGTTAAAACTACGGTCGCAAATAATGCTAACACGGCTCTGTACACGACCTTCGCGTTCTTCGGGATCCTTGGTGGTAGTGTTTACAACATCTTTGGACCGAAGATTACCCTTGCCATGGGATGCTCCACTTATGTCCTTTATGCTGGCTCTTTCCTCTACTACAATCACTACCATGACCAGACTTTTGCTATCATTGCCGGTGCTGTTCTCGGCATCGGTGCAGGCTTTCTTTGGGCCGGACAAGGTGCTATCATGACTTCCTATCCTACTGCTGGTCGTAAAGGCATCTATATTTCTCTCTTCTGGACTATTTTCAACTTGGGTGGTGTCATGGGTGGACTCATACCTTTCTTCCTGAACTACCACCGGGAAGACTCGGAAACCGTCAATGACGGCACATATATCGCCTTCATGTGTATCATGTCAACTGGTGCCCTCATCTCATTGGCAATTCTCTCCCCTGCTCGAGTTGTCAGAGACGATGGTACTCGTTGCACCAACATCAAATACTCAAATGTTGCAACCGAGGCCATCGAGATCCTTAAGCTCTTTCGTAACCGGAAGCTGCAATTCATCATCCCAGCTGCCTGTGCTAGCAACTTCTTCTACACCTACCAATTCAATGATGTCAACGGCTTGATGTTTAATCTGAGAACAAGAGGATTGAACAATGTGTTCTATTGGGGATCTCAAATGATAGGTTCAGTCGGAATCGGATACATTTTAGACTTCAGTTTCAAGAGCAGAAGAACAAGAGGCTTGGTTGGGGTAGGGGTTGTCACTGTGCTCGGGACAGCAATTTGGGCAGGTGGCCTTGCCAACCAGTTGAATTACTCTTTTGACAAGCCTCCCAAGCGGCTGGACTTCAAAAGATCCGGCACCGATTTCGCCAAACCGTTCGTATTGTACTTTTGCTATGGTTTATTAGATGCCATGTTTCAAAGTCTGGTTTATTGGACAATCGGAGCATTAGCTGATAACTCAGAGGTCCTCAGCAGGTAATGGCAATTATATATCCACACACACTAAAATATAAAATATTTAAATTATACGAGAATTTAAAATTTTCATGAGGCAACCGCTCCCGTCAGCTCCCCTCGGTCCATCCTGTGACACAGATGATTAAAGTCCATAATTACATGAATCCATTAACTTAAAAGATTCTCCAAATAAAACTTGCAGATACGTAGGATTCTACAAGGGAGTGCAGAGTGCAGGAGCAGCAGTTGCCTGGCAAGTTGACAAAAACAAGGTTCCGTTGCTGAACCAGCTGATAGTGAATTGGGGGCTGACCACTTTGAGCTATCCATTGCTTGCGCTCCTCGTTTACAAGGAGGTTAAGGATACGGATAGCAGTAAACCTGCAACAGATGATGACACTGCTTCTGGACTGCCTCCCCCTGCTTCAATGAAAGATGGTTACAAAGAACTCGAAAACTCTACTACCACAGAGAAGGATGGTTAGGTACTTTGGCAAAATTTCCATACCTCCGAATGTTTCCATGTATTATTCCAATTGTCGAATACTTTAATAAATTTGATAATTCATGTATTCATATTAAATTTAAGTTTCTTTTAATGTTATAATGGTTTTAAAATATATATGTGTTGTATATTTTATAGTTCAACTTTTATACGTTTATATATTCATATTATATTTCACTTTATTTTTCATGTCATAGTGCATGATCAATAGTGGATGGTATCAACAAGTTCACAATGCTTGCAACCTAGAACCATAACAAACAATTCTAACAGTGAACTTAGTTAAGAAAATCGTGAAAATGTATTTTTCAAAAGTTACCTTTTAAAGTTTTGATGTTTGATATTATTATAAAAAATATTGTTAAAAAAATAAAATATATATTTTATATATGATATTATAAAGTAAAATAAATGAAACAAATATGTATTGATTTATAATTCAATATATATGTATATATGTATTGATAATACAGTGAATTAAAGAAATAACTTATACCTATATAAATTATTGATAGTTTAATGAAATAATTAATTTACACCGTTGTAATTAATTAATATTAAATAATTAATTTACACTTTTGGAAGCAATGTGGAACAGGCCTGAGTGAGTTAAATGGGTCGACCCGTATAGGCTGCATAGAAGAGTGCTAAAGTTTGAGCCAACTTGTCCCCAAACAGTGGATGAGGGCAGATTATGTAGTCTTACTTGAGACCCGTGAATTTCGATGAGATAGCCTTTCCCATCCCCCAATCCAATCCCCAATCATCTTCTTTCCTGTTCTCATCCACTTGCCCCACAAAACCCACCCCCAAAAACCTTTCCAAATTCTTTATTCCTCCCTCTCACGCTCTTTCTCAAGTTGCACCCACGAAGATACGCTGGTAAAAACACAGGTTCCTCCGCCAATTCTCTTTATTTCATACTGTCTAAATGAAACGCTCCTGTGTCATATTTCGGCTGCATTTCTAAGATGGGTCAAATCGTTTTTAGCATGTTATTCAGTTTTTGGGTTTAGGGTTATTGAGTTTATTGGAGGTTTTTTGAGTTGCTTTTTTTTCTCTGATTTCTTATACAGTTTCCCGTGATGGGTACTCCTCTCCCTCGTGAATGGCTTGGCCTTCAACAATTCCCCGCTGCTACTCAAACAAAATTGTTTGATTTGTTGGGAAAATTGAAGCAAGAGGTTTTGATGAACCCTTTAATCTATTTCATTTACTTCGACTTAATAACATGTTTACACAAGATTGCTTTAAATGTAAAAAAAATACAGAATGTCAATACTTTGACTATCCTTGTTATGGGCAAAGGCGGTGTAGGAAAGTCTTCTACTATCAATTCTCTTCTTGGGGAGCAAGTTGTTCGAGTCACTGCGTTCCAGGTGAGTATTGGTTTTATCTGTTACAATGCGTTCTTAGCTTGATTCGTTTATGCTGTTTAATCTTCTAAAGCTTTAATCGTCATTATATTTGTGTATTTTGCAGTCAGAGGGGCTGAGACCCGTAATGGCTTCACGCACCTGGGCAGGGTTTACATTGAATGTAATTGATACTCCAGGACTTGTAGAGGCTGGCTATGTTAATCACCAAGCTCTTCAGTTGATCAAAGGGTCAGTAGAGTAATTAAGCTGTCTAACCTAGAATCTTATATTCTGCATGATGAATATAGTTTTCGTGAATGCTAGTCATATTTTCATTTTAGGACTATTTTTAGTTTTCCTATATGTTATTGTTCATTTTGGTTAAAAACAAAATCTATTACTCGTCGTGCAGGTTTCTTTTGAATAAGACCATAGATGTTTTGCTTTATGTTGATCGCCTGGATGCCTATAGAGTGGACGACTTGGATAAGCAGGTCATAAGGGCTATTAGCAACAGTTTTGGCAAAGAAATATGGCGCAAAAGTTTGCTTGTGCTCACTCATGCTCAGCTTTGTCCACCAGATGGACTGAATTATGGTGTTTTTTCTTCTAAAAGATTGGAGGGTGTCCTAAAGGCCATTCGTGTTGGAGCACGTATTAGGAAAAAAGAGTTTGATGTATGTATTCTCTTTCAGGTTTATTTATGTTGGACGCATGTTGGATCGGATAAATAAAGGTGTTAGACAGGTTAATATGATAAGCTTATTTGTTCTCACAAAGATTCCTTGATGTCTAACTAAAATAGTATTTGTCACTCATTTGTAATTCCGTTGTCTGAAAAGGATATCTTAGCTTGTAAATTTATCTTTATTAGTTACTATTTCTTTCTGTTGGTATGCTTAGAGTGCTGTGATCGCTTTTTTTTTTTTAGATATTTCCTTGCTTTTGATGCTTGTAGGATTCTGTCATTCCTGTTGTTTTGGTTGAAAACAGTGGAAGGTGCAATAAAAATGACAATGACGAAAAGGTTTGAACCTATGCTTTTTTACCTCATATTGTGCTCTCTATTTTCACCTTTTCATATATTTGATTGCCTTGATTCTTTGATAATTACATGTTATATCTATACAGATTCTTCCCAATGGCGAAGCTTGGATTCCGAACTTAGTAAAAGCCATCACAACTGTTGCAACGAACAAGTGTCAAGTTATTGTAATTAGCAAGAAGTTGGTTGATGGATCTGATGCTAACGATAAAGGAAAATTGTGGATTCCAGTTATTCTTGGGCTTCAGGTAAAGTTTCCACAGTTTCTATTTGTGCTGAATTGGAACAAAAATTAATGTTTTCTAATGCCCAAGTTTTTTGTTGCTTCAGTGGTTTGTTATCAAATGGATTCAAGGAGCAATAAAAAGGGATATTGCAACTGGCAATGGGCCTATATGAGAACAACATGAATGGGATCTGCTCGAATGCAAGTTTCATCTGGTCTTGTTAAACTTTTTATATCATATTGGGTTTCCTTTTTTTTTTTGGGTAAGATGAATAAGAATCCTAAGAAGTTTGTTTTGTTAGTTCTATGCATATACTTTTAATGGGCAGAGGCTGTAGTCGGATGGGATACCATTGAGCTTTTGTAGGATTTAAGCAGATATATGCAGGCGAAGGTTCTTTTGTTTCACTTCCATGTATTCCCGTCTGTTTCTTTTGTTTTCTTTTCTCAAACTACATGTATTGGTGTCTTTGTTCAGAGACATTTATGATTTCCTCCAAAGTATGTCCCTCATTTCTATTTGAAAGTACTTCTTTCATATCCTTTTGTGCTAGAAAAGAATTAGCTCTTTCTTGTGGACCATTTGTCGTTGTTGTTTAAGCTCATTAAGGTGCAAGGAGCATCTATCGATAACGAGAATGGTCTGGCCCAGCCACCTTTGCCAGGCATGGTAGTGGTACAGTATACTGGCTACCTTATTTTTTGGTGCGTGAATTGTGGGGATTTGTGCAGGTTAAGTCACCACCAGTACAAGCTGCTCTCATTATTGCATGCACTTCAATCACTGCAATACTTTATTTCATTAATTGCTTTGCTTCTCCCCCCCCCCTTTTTCTCTCCTCTTTTTATCAATGTTTCATGCTCATGGTCATTTGCACTCAAGATACGGTAAAATATAGCTTCTAATATCGGTTGTATCGAACGTCTTCTATTATGATTTGGAATTTTTAGGGCGATGCCAAGTAAGATCCAATCTATCCTCAACCAATGGCTTGTAAGAAAAAATGTCATACTAAATTTTGCAATTCTATTAGAAGGACAAATCAAATACTCTTCCTTCCTATTACACTATCATTTGGTTTAAGTTGAAATAAAAGAAGAATTTAAATCCAACTATTTTAGGTAAAATTACATGTACCTATCTTTGAAATGAATAATTTTTTTCACTAAGAGTACAGTTACGGTAATTTTCAGTATTTTTTTTTAAAATTTTATTTGATCTATGTTAATTAACAATGCCAAACCAAACCAACATGGTCCTTTGACAAAGCGTTGTCCGAAAATTATGAGGAAGCATCGTGATTGAAGATTCGGTTGAGGCGTGGGACTGGAGCCCATGCGCCACCCTTCGTCTCCATGCACACCAGGTGAAAATCAGCCTAATCATTTTGTCTTCTCTTTAGCTGTGTCCCTCAGAGCAGTGAAATAAACCAGTTGCTATAAAAGTGGTGCCTCGCTCTCCCTCCGACCCACACTCCCCGGGAGAAAACAAAAACGGAAACAAACATGAGCAGAACAAGCAACTTGAAAAATGCCGTCGTGGCATTTCTTGTTCCTCTCCCTTCAATTCTCTTCTATCTTTATTTCCTTAGTCATTTCCACAGCAACAACACTTTCCTTTCTCCTGTTTGGTCATGGTGCTTCCACCACCCTTTTCTGTTAGCCAATGTCTTCTTTTTCTTCAATGTCAGTGTCCTCTTCTGGCTCATTGGTTTCATCCAATCCAGCAACTGGGTCGGTGATTTTTTTATTACGTAGAATTCTTAAAAAATAATTTAAATTCTACTTCTTTTTATTGGCTTCTTTTGGTTGGTTTCAGATGATTGATCTGTATTGGACGGTGATACCGGTGCTGTTACTTCATTACTATGCAACCCACCCTTCGGCTCAATTTGATCCGTGGAGGTCAATGGTCGTTACAGTGTTGACTTGGGTTTGGAGTATTAGGCTGGCCCATAGTTATTTCAGGCGAGAAAAATGGCAATGGGGTGCCAGAGAAGACTGGAGGTTCGCTGATATGCGCTTACAGTACGGCAAGAATTGGTGGTGGATTTCCTTCTTCTCTGTTTACGTTTCTCAACAGGTGATTCTCCATAGATTCTGCATTATCCGTTTTGGTTCTTTCTAATCTCTAATAACAAATAAAAATTTGGACCTCAAGTAGAAGAAAGCAAACACCATTAAATTAATAAAAAAGGCTGACGAGAGAACATACATTGAAGTAAATGGTGATTCAACTGCAGATACTTCTGATTGGGATATGTCTTCCACTGTATGTCGTCCACTCGGTTGATAAGCCCTTAAATATCTGGGATGTTGTTGCTGCTGGAGTTTGTTTGTGTGGCATTACCATAGCATACTTCGCAGATACACAACTGCATAATTTTGTGACTAAAAATACCAGGCTAAAAGAGCTCGGAAAATCTATGGTCCCGAACCTCGACCGCGGCTTGTGGCAGTACTCCCGCCATCCAAACTACTTTGGGGAACAACTATGGTGGTGGGGGCTGTTTGTATTTGCATGGAACTTGGGTCATGGATGGACCAGTGTGGGGTCTTTGATCAATAGTATGTGCTTAGCTTATGTTACTTTTCTAGTGGAGCAGCGGATGTTGAAGCAAGAGTACAGAGCTGAAGCATACAGGTTATACCAAAAGACAACCTCAGTGTGGGTACCTTGGTTCAGATCTTCTGCTATAGCAGTGAAGGATAAGGATACTTGATCTGATATTTTGTTCCACTGCCAATTCTGAAAGAAACATGTTTGTGCCGGTCGTTTAATACTTCGTTATCCTGTTTTGGTGTCGGTTTGAGAAGGGGGAAAATGGTAGTTGTCCGTGTAGTCAGAGATTAGCCTATGGAATCAAGTGAACTATTTCTTCACTTGCAATAAAAAACTGTTTTCATTGTCTCCGCATGGAAGAAAATCTTGTAGTTGAAATGGTGACCCAACCAAATATTTGTTTATATTTAAACAAAGTTGCTATGGGTATGGGTATGGGTTTGGGTTTGAGTTTGAGTTTGAGTTTGGACTTATTATCGAGATGAGAATTGGTCTACAAAAAAAATTGAATTAAATACCTTAAAAAGGAGGAGGTATAGTGATAAAAATTATATCTAGTAAATAATCACTTCGATCATTTCTTTAATATTTTAAACTTTAACGTTTTATTTTAAGACAAAAGAATTTTTCGGATAAAAATTATTAATCAATAAAATACTAACGCTTTAAAATAGGAATTTTTTATTCTAAAATAAAATGTTGAAGGGTTCCCCCTGCATATACCTAAGCATAGTTTTATCTCATAGATGACTTTTCTTAATAAATTTCCTACAAAGGATAGGCTTCACCGTATGGGGTTTATCAACGACTGCAAATGTATGTTTTGTGATGATCCTCTGGAAACAAGGGATCATTTGTTCCTCCTATGTCCTATGGCAGACATCTTGTGGAAATCAGTCTTCTCTCTTTATGGTCTTCAATTTATATCTCGTTCATGGGATTCTTTTTGTGCGTGGGCAAGTTATTCTTGGAAAGGAAAATCTATGCTCACTTCGATTTTGAAGATAGCTCTTAATGCTACTATCTACTTTCTGTGGGATGAAAGAAACAAAAGATTGTTTCAAGGCCGATCTAAAAATGCACAAGAACTGTTCCTTGCCATTAAGGATTGTCGAAACGATTTTTTTCTTAAGGTGAGAAAGTGAGATTTTTAAAACCACATCAATTTTTAACTTATCTTGTTCAATCAATTTTTAATTTAAAAACAAATGCGTTTTTAAAAAACTCTCGTTTCGAAAAGTTTGGATTTTCTTTACGATCGAAAAAAATGCGGTTCAAAGAGTCGCCACCAATATTCGATTAAGGTGTGATTGGCACCCAAAAATATTTGTTATTTTAAATAAAAATTAATTTTAATTAAAACAACAAGTTAAGGTATGCGTTACCAAAATCGAGTTCCGGAGTCGGTTACGTGCAGGGAAGGATTAGCACCCCCACAACGCCCTAAAACGGTACATAGTCGATTAATTAATGTATTTGCAATGAACTTTACAAATTCGAATTTAATTTAATTTTTGATCCCATAAAACAAAGATGTAAATTTAAAAACATTCAAAAGCACTCAAATGAATTAAAGTAAAATTACCAAGTCGTTTTAGAAAGATAAAGAATGTTCGATTATTTACAAATATCGAGAACAGATCTTAAAAGCTATAACAACCTTTTCTCGATAAATTTAAATAAACTAACATTTCCTTTTCTTTCATTCCCAAATTTTAGGTGACGAATCAATTTTTGGTTTCACTTTCGGGATACACTTTTAACTTAAAATGGTCATAACGACCTCTAATCAGTTAAGACATGCCACTCAAGATAATTTTAAATTAAAAGTGTATTACCCTTAATCCAATTATGTAATATGTTGAGTTATGCAAATGAGGTTACTATGCGAATCGTGCAAAAAAATGTCATGTAACGTGAAAGAAAAAAAATATTACATACATGCATTTAAAATTAAAAAAGCTATAAACAATGCATATTAACATATAATGTACAAATATGACTCAAATATAAAAACAAAAACATAACATACTAAACTAAAAATTTAAAAAGTGTATATACATATTAAAATTAGGACTAAATTTAACTAAATGTAAAATTAGACATATAAATCAAAAATAAAAACAGGGACTTAAATAAAAAAAATACGCATAAATATAAAGTATTTAAACACAAATAACCCAAAAAAATTACAACTAACACAAAAATTAGGAAAACTACGAAATCAGGACAACTACAAAATGGCAGAATTCGAAAGCAGTCCTAAAGGTGACTAAAGTGTAAATAAAAGCTAAACATATGTGGACTAAACACTAATTTAACTCTAAAGTTACAATGGCTAAACACTAATTAACCCTAAAATATTAATATTTAACCTAATAAAAAACCTAAACTAAAATATCACTTAGACGCACTTCTAATTTCCCTCACTCCTCTTCTTCGTGCACTGCCCACACCAGAGAATACCGCCGTTCCATCGCCCTTCACCATCAGAATGGACGTCGGCCACCTCTTGTATGCTCATCTCTCAACCTTATTCTATTAAACTTATATGAACGCCACTCAAGCCTCATCTCCTCCACTCTCCTCGTCTTCTTTCTCGGCGCTGCACTCTCTTTTGAACACCGTCGTAGCCGTTCGACCACCATATCTTGGTTGCCTCTTCTCCACTCGACTGCATCCCCTCATCGCTTTGTCACTTCATTCGAGTTTTTCGCCATAAATTAAAGTAAGTAATCGGAAGCGTAGTTGTTGGGTAGAATGATGAAAGGTTCTAAGGATTTGTGATTAATTTTAGGGGCTGTAATTTGAGATTTATGATAGGAAAAGAATGAGCTTTAGGTTTAGTTTGGGTCTCGATTCGTTCAACCAACAATGGTGACTGTCGGAATTGGGTTTGAAACCAATTTACGAAATCAAATGGAGCTTTCGTGGATCTCGATCAAAGGGGACGAAGGGTAAAGAAA